TAAAAATTCAAGCCTCTAAAGCACATCACCAGACAAAAATCATCTAGGTGCCAAATTTGGCCTGCGAGTCCCCGAATTGGGTCCTTTTAATGGAGGTTTCTCTGATCGGAAAACATGTCTATGATGCTAAGTGAAGAAGAAGCTACTAATCTGCAGGATCACATGTTTTTAAAAGATTGTATATGTGTACACACATATTTGCACATTCACACATTTATAGAGTACACATATTCAAGAAAATATCGAGAACATTTTTTGGAAGGATACGGAATACGATTTGAGATGATTCTGTAAAATGCTTTATCATTTATATTTTTAATTCTTCTACAAATATCTATTAGTTGTGTAGTTTTTAATAAATAAATCAGGAGAGGAGCCTTAAAAAATGGAAGACTTGGAGTGTCATATTAAGACACCACCCTGGCTTACCGGCCATCCTCTTTAGGGGGAAAATGGTTTCGGTGATTAAGGACAAATGAGACATTCGATATTAGGTAACCAATACTAACCGCGCCAGAGTTCCTTTAAAAATGGAACATTGTTGATTTCCCAAACTAGCTTCTAGCCCCTTTCCACAATTTTTGTGTCTTCTGTGATGCCATAAATCTCTCTGTGTCAAGTCCGACCTTCCCTATGTGGCCGTCCCAGCAGGAGTATTGAAGGGCCCCAGCTGAGAGGATTTTATGCACATTAGAGTTTGACCAACTTCCTTGGCAGTGGAATAAAATTGCCTCTCCCCCCACCCCCAGCCCCGACCCTCCCGCCAAAAGGTTTACAGGTCTGCAGCGGGTCGGTGGGCACGACCTCGTCTCAGTGCTCAGCAAGTATTTATTGCAAAGGCTTGGAAATTATCATGACTTTGCATATAGCAAAAAAAACAAAAAAACAAAAAAAACCCTCTATATTTGCCAACACATTGATGGAATTCATAAACTGTTTTTTAAAATAAACTTATTTGGAGGGTATAAGAGCATCCGCGCAGCCCAATGAAGCAGCATGTGTGTGTGTGTGTGTGTGTGTGTGTGTGTATGTGTGTGTGTGTGCATGTGCATTTAAGATGTGGACGTCTTCAAAGTAACCGCAGCAGTGCATTTGCTCGGGGAGGACCCCTTGTGTCTGCAGCAGTGGGCGACACTCGTGTTGGGCAGAGGGGCATGGTTAGAGCTGGGCTGTGGACTAAGAGCCCGAATGTAGCCATGGCCACACCCAACTGCGTGACCTCAGGCTCACTCCCCTCTCTGAGCCTCTGTGGCTGGTCATGGAAGGAGGGTGATCACAGCTGTGTCACAGGATTGTTGCGTGCCTTGGTAAGGGGGCCGTGGCGGGTGTGCCAGGGGCTCGGTACTGCGGTTGTCATCAAGTAAGTGATCACCCACTGGCCATTAGGTATTGACGTTGTTACTGCCTATTTTACAGACTCAGAAACTGAAATCTGGGGAGAGGAAAGCACATGACCCCCAAGCCACCACGTCTGCCTGGGGGACATTTGGGCACAGAGCCCAGGAGTCCTGACCGGCTGCCTTGCCTCCTGCAGGTCTCCGGGAAACTCCTGCCGGTGGCCCCACTTGGAGACGAGCGCCCGGGGTGGTTCCTCAAAGTGCCTGAGCCCCACTTAGGAGCGAGCAGCTCACCATGCTGACGGAGTGAGTGGGCTGAGAAGAGCCAGACAGGGCTGCAGGCAGTCCGCCTGGGGCCTGCCTGGCTTCCAAGCAGGCAGACCACCCTCCCCGGCTGCCCCAGCCGCATTGCCCAGAGAGGCATAGGGACCTGCTCTGGGACACACAGCAATGCCAGACGTCTGCCTCTGGCTGGGGCAGGGATAGGTTTGCAATTGTATTAACAATCTCTGCAATCTCTGACTTTGCCCCTTCTCCTTTCCCGACAGAGACATGAAGGTCTGGCATGGCTTAGTGATCGCGGTGGTGTCCCTCTTCCTGCAGGCCTGCCTCCTCGCAGCCACCAACTACCTGCTCAGCAGGCACATGGGTAACCGGCTCAGCATCCTCTCCCTCCCGTCACCCTCAGAGTCTGCCTTCCTCTGCCCAGACACACGCTGCTGCAACGCTTATGAGGAAGGGCTCGCTTAACCTGGGCCTAATTAAATTTCCTCACACTGCCAACGCTGAAAATGAAGGCAGGCCTTTGCATTGAGCAGATGGAAACGGCTGGACTTAGAGATTAAACTAGAGATTGGTTTAAATTCTTGAACTGATTTATAACAGCAGGTGGAGAAGCTCTGTGTGAGAGGGGATTGTAACTGGGGAAAATAAAATAGCACCGCTTTGGCTGTGCCAAGACAGGGGCTTGGGCAAGATGATGTCTAGAGGGTGTTTGCAGTAAAGGAAGCCTCGGTTCTCCACCCATTCATTCATTCAACCAATATTATCGAGCACCTAAGGCACTTTCTGGGCCAGGCTATACAACAGCACACAACAGAGAACGAACAATGATTCAGCCCTATGGAACTTTCTTCCATGGGATAAGAAAAAATAAATAAGGCCCGCGCAGTGGCTCACGCCTGTAATCCTAGGCACTCGGGAGGCCGAGGCAGGCAGATTGCTTGAGGTCGGGAGTTCGAAACCAGCCTGAGCAAGAGCAAGACCCCTCCTAATATAAATAGAAAGTTGGCCAACTAACATATATAGAAAAAATTGGCCTAGCATGGTGGGCATGCCTGTATCCCAGCTACTCGGGAGGCTGAGGCAGGAGGATCGCTTGAGCCCAGGAGTTTGAGGTTGCTGGAGCTAGGCCGATGCCACGGCACTCACTCTGGCCTGGGCAACAAAGAGCGAGACTCAGTCTCAGAAAAAAAAAAAAAAATATATATATATATATATTAAGATAAATAAGTAAAACATAGGCATGTTAGGCTATGGTAAGCGGTAGAAGGGAAAATGAAGGCAGGCGAGGAGATGCGGACTGGGGTGGCGGCACCCTGAGATGCTGACATTCGAGTGCAAATCGCAGGGCCTGAGAACC